CTATTTAAGTGGTGTACTACGGAAGATACTTTACTAGTTGTTGCACTTCTATGCTCTTTGCACTATCTTGAATCATTGGCCATGTTATTGCTGATAATGTTTATATGCACATTCTTTATTTACTTACTTGGCTACTTAAATGGCCCCGTCCAAATTGTAACCCGAACTAACAACGTTTCGATGTCCTGGTGCCAACAGAATTCCTCAGGCATGAACCCTGAGAAACTTAAAGTGAAAACATCCAGAACGTATCCTGTTCCGACGGAGCTAAACCAGCTATGCATTCGTGCACTGGGCCTGCAAATGTGGTTTTATTCTGTACAACGACTCAGAAGTTCAGTCCTAGTGCACTTCACAAAGGAGCTGCGTGTTCGCAACAATTCGAGAACGCTTAAGTGATCAAGTAGGTTATGCTGGTACACGCAGGAAGTCGAGTGTTCATGCGTGTGTACGGTTGTAGATGAATTAGTGAAAAAGTGAACTCTCATTAAATTCGGTTAAAGGTCTTCTCCTTTCGAAGTGTATTCGACAACAATCGACAAGGGATTTTTCGAAAATGTCCTTAAGTAATATTAACATCTTCAAATAGAAGGACTGTAACAAAATCTGTTCTTCTACTTCCGTGTTTGTAATCACATGGAAGGTCGCGTGTAAAGCAGTAGTTGCAGGCGCCATTGCGACACACACGTAGGATCGATTCCCGCGCCTTTCGCCCACCAAGCCTTCCATCCCTCGGGTCAGCAAACTGGTACCAGACTTGTCTGAGAGGAAAGCAGCACTGGTTCGACACATTGGTAGGCCACCATGATCCGAGTCATTGTAAAGGTCAGATATACATTCAGTCACCTCCAAACGATGCTTAATGAACTCGAATACACGGTGCATCCCTAAGGGATATATAAACGCCGAAAGCTCTACCCTTTTACTTTAATCACATAGGAGCTTGGATTTATAGATATAAAAGCCTGAATACATGATATTATGGCCAGCATATTTATTATATCGCAGATTCTTTAGCGTCTACATTTACTTTTTGGTTCGTTTTACCACAATGAAGTTAGGTGTCAACGCTTAGCGGTGGTACAAGGTAGGGCCGATTCAAGGGCACGCTGACGTCGCTTCTTGACCTGGTGCCTCCAACATTCGAACGCAACAAAACTGGCGACTGGCAATAGATTCGGGTTGTCCAGAAGAAGGAAAACCACAACGGTAAGTAATGAATTCAAGATTAATGTCAATACGACGAAACACCTAATGAGTAGAGGAATGGACGCCTAGTTAATGTTTACTTTCATAATTGTTCGACTGTTTAACTGACATTCACACCCTTAGCGAAACACAGGCAATCCAATTCTCTTCTTTGTAACGTCCCATAAATCATCCTTAATTGTGAATGACGGAGAAATTATTAGGTTACTCAGATTTATTTTTTCCCAACTTCATGACGATAATGGCAAGCGGAAAAAAGCAGCAGTACTCTAATCTTTGTTACTCCTATTTGGGCTCCATGCTTTTACACTTTGTGGTCCTTTTTTGTACTTTTTTTTGTTTTTTATTCAAATCAGTTGATGGAGAAATGGAGAAAAAAACTACTGCAGTACATGTCATTTCTCACGTTCGTGAAAATCCTTTAAATTATGAAGAGTGATTTAGAAAAAACCCACAGTGTTAACTTTTCATTTGCTGCCTGTTACGATTTTTTCACGACAGGTTATTATGTGAAATACAACTATACGATGCTGGGATAATTTCAAAGCTCCGGATCGCAGTTGTATGTGGTGGGAAACGAACGCGCTATTACCCTTTCCGGCAGCTAACGCGTTCACCAGTACACTATGACGGTTCTTCGTTCGCCTGTCTCTCAGCTAGTTTGACAGCTAGGCACTGATCGATAGAAAGCAATCGATAGACATTTTCGCCACAGCAGACACCTGCAGTCCAGAGTTTTGCAAATATCTCAGCATCATTATAGCTGTGAAACCCACAAAAGTGAAGCACACAGACCATCCAATGTGAAAGAGAATTTAAAGCAAATTATTCCTTTGTGGTAAAGCGTTGGCCTACTTTCTCAGTTTTCTATCGAATCACTCCTATAATTATGCCAATGGAGGAGAAGGAAATTATTCCAATCTTTTTTTGGGCGTGCCTAGCGTAATTGAGAAAAGCTATATTTGTTATACTTATGACATAACTCTATTACATGACTAAGCCATAATACTTGAACTTGAACGGCCTGTCCTCGCTTCTTGTGCGAGCCTCAGCATAATTACCATTTTTAGGAGATTTGTTGGTTAAGCCATTATGGGTCCCTGGAATCCCGAGGTCAACCCGGCCAAAGACTGCCCCAGGTCTTCACCATGACAGGCAGCCGCGGTCCTTGTGGATCAGAGAAAGATTTGCCACCATGCGACTTTGATACCAGGACGGTGGTGGATGCTGGTATTGGTTTACTCTTACCTAGGCCTCCTAAGGGAAACGCTGGACTGCTTCTCAACTTGGAAGACCCTGCCGACGAGACGAATCTCTCCGCTGCACGTCGCAGCCCGACACTCAGGAGCACCTCCCAGCCACGATGGTAAAGCGTTGGGAGGAAGCCACAATAAAGGTCTATTATTGAACATTGTCATAATATTCTCCAAGGAAGTCCGTGATAATCCCCGCCAGGGTAAGAAATCCCGGTACATTCGTCGAATCCGTTTAGGAAGTCATAGAGGTTCAAATTTCGAACCACACGAGCAAATCAACCCCTGAATATGACAATTTCCAAAGACGAAGTCGGAGAACAATTCTCACTATGGCGGTGGTGATTTTCTTCAAAGAAAATTTCGAATAATAGAAAAAAGAGAAATGCAGAACGGTTTGTGATGAGCGTCGATTCAACTGAAGTGACAGAAAGTGACTCGCAATGGACGACATGAGTCGAGCGAAGCAGAAATGAATGTCGACGATGAAATTCCGTGCACATTGTCCATCGGCACCATTCAAGTCCTATTCTTTTGTGGATTCTTGTTTTCCGGGTTATTTAATGATCACATTATGATCCGGTGCATTACTATAAGAACGCAGTTCTCGAAAAGGAAGGACTCCGATGCTAAGCGAAAGGTGGTGGGAAAAAGAGAGAACTGCTTGTTGCTGCTCACGACCTTGATTCAAGTAGAAAAAAAAATCCAAACATGAAAATATCTTAGTTTTAGTGTGCACTTCTTTCGTATCCATTTCATACAATACACTCCAATTATTCTTTCAGCGATGATGTGAATAAAAATTGCTTTTAACACGACTATGTCTTCCCTAATGACTTGTCAATCAACTGAGCTGCTCAGGTTTCTCTATGACAGATGTCACACATACATTCATTTCAAATCAATAATCATAAAAATGTGAAACAAAGATTGGGTAGCACATTGACGGATGTTCATCCCTTCAACAGGGTCTCCTAAAATAAAAAGGAGCTCTACATTTCCCTCTGAGCACACTTAAGAATAATCAAATGCCAAGAATCATCGATGTTCGGGTAAACAACACTTGTTGCCCGCCAATTGGTGATGTGGCTCTTTAAGAGCTTTCGAGGCACCAGGAAAGGAAAATCTGTTCCAACCGGCAAATTAGTAGTGAAGTGGAAATTATGGTAACTCTCGCAAGATTCATTGCATCTGAACAGATCATTAAAGTACATAAATACAGGATAAAAGCGTAAAGTGTTTGGTACTGATCAGTCCTTGAAGGATGCACCGTATACTCTACCTCATCAAGCATCTCAGCGATAACTGAATGTGTATATGACCCACTCAATAATTCATGATGGCCTACCGATGTACCAAATCAGTACTGCTGTTCATACCACACATGTAGTACCAATTTGCAAAAATTGAAGACTTTTAAGACTTGATTTGTTCGTGGCGCGAAGTTGAACCAATGAATCTTGCGTTTCCCAGAGCGAAGTTAACTACTGAGCTTTATGCACCCTCCAAATAATTTATTTAATTTAGTTTTTCGTGAAATTCACAAGGTTTTAATAAACTAGACATTTGCTTCTCAGAAAGCTTTAGTGAATAGGTGCCTAAGAAATCGAAATAGTTCGAATCTGTGGTTGGAAAGTAGATATTCTGACCAAGGACATTATTGGTCCAAAGAATTCGATGGTAGACTTGAGCGCCATTAGATCGCAGTTCTTCAACTTTACAGTGTCCAGGAATCTTAGGAGATAATACAGTGAGTACCGTATGACTGAATCCATAGCTGATTAGATTGCGAACAATGTTACTACTTCCACGACTTGGTTCGGTACTTCTTGCAATTTATCCTGCCGTAGGATTCTCAGAAAAATTTCTAGAAGAGCAATCAGTGCGCTAGAGAAGTTTCGGCTGCGAGATGTCAACTTGCAAAATTCCTTCCGTTGAACGGAAATAATGAAAGAAAGGCGGAAATTAGGAAAAAGTAGTTGTCGATAGAGAAGAAATGCGATCAAGTGAAGTGAGTGCGACACAAGTCTTACAGTAATTCTTTGTTTTGAAAAGATAATTTAGCACCCTGCCTCTGATTTTCTCAAAATACATAGAAAACATAAACACTGAATTAAAAAATATCTGTTTACTGACTACTCTGTTTGCCAGAAGCGCTAGATTCTACATTTCTGACATGGAAAAGTGACGTCATATGACGTCATCACATTTTCATATGAAACATTTCTTTCAGAAAGGATTGGTTAAATGTACTTTTGTTCCATAACTTACAATCTATCACAAAATATTTGCAGATTAAATCCAATTTACGACATTGTTTTATGAAAAGCACATTGTGATCGATGGGGTAGAAGTCCGAAATTACAGGAAACAGATAAAAATGTATGTAGTTATCGAGATAATTACGTCTTACGTCTGACTAACCGTCACTTTGTAGTTCTTCAGCGGTGTTTACGAAAGAAAGAACGAGGGCTACAATTTCGAATCACACTGACACTGGAAGTGCCACCGCAGCCTTCACTCTGAAGAAAAGAGTTCTTACCGGCATGGCAAGGTCCTGACGACGTCTCCTGCTTGATATGGATCAATGCAAACGGCACAATCTACATCCAGTTCCGGATCGCCGACCTTCAAACACCGTGTCGGAATTCGCATCAAGGCCTTTCGAGCGGCATTGAACAACCTGAATTCGTTATAATTAGACTTTTTCCTTCGTTATTCTATCGGAAATGTTCATTGACAAATCAGTAAATATGTTCTAAACACGACCATAGCTTAAAAATAGACACTGGAAAAGTTGTGGAGAATGAGTTGAGAGCATAAAGAAAGACGGAAGGTCTGCTTTCTTACATATGTGATTGCTCATTTCTTATAAGCTTCCCTATGTAAACTTACTAAAACTTATGAAAAAATATTTATCAATGAGATTTTCTCCAATTTTAAAAGTATAAGACATTAGGGCTAACTTCTAACGCAGGAAGGGTCCAGCATTACCAAGGTTTACAACTGTACCTGGAAACGTTGGATAACATTGAAAATTCTTAAAGAGTTTGCTTTAACGATCTAGTTCATAAGAGTTCTATCAGGAATTACGAGAAGGCGTTTCGAAAACTGACTTTACCCTTCAGCCTCGGTATGGATAACTAACGTGCGTTTAAATTGTTTACCTTACACGAGGTTGTTATGGCCGATTGTTAATTTAATTGTTCAGCTCCACAATAACCGCGTGTCAGAGAACAATTTCAACACACGTCAGCTAGTCAAATCTAGGTTAAAGGAACGCCAGTTTTGAAATCATCATGACTTCATTTTGGAAGGCCAAAAAAGTCGCACCTTAGTGGCAAGAGCGTGTAGACTCTAGTTGATTTTATTCAAATTAATAATGTTCTCTACAAGCTGAGAGAGGTGAGATGACTTCCAGTCACATATGGATCATATTTGACTCTCGAATTAGCACACGTAGAGAAAAGCAACGAGCGTTTAATGAGCTCCGCCGAACGTCGGCTTGTCGAACCGACAGCGATCGGTCTGGAAATGCAGCAACCTTCATCGACAATGGTCAGTTCTCGTTCTCCGAGAACTCACAGACAAACGACGAAATGTTCAACGCCTTCACTTGACATAAGAGTGTAACGAAGAGCTGTTAAATGAAGAGGGGGCTTCAAAATAGTCAAGAATAAGAGTACTGGAACAAGACCACTAAATGTTAGGAAACATGAATTATATACGAAAATGTCATTGGTTAAAAGTTATTCAGCTTTTAACAAACGTTGCAGTAAATTAGGTTCTATTCCTATGTTGAAAACTGCCATCGACGTTTATGCTAACAATGGCTTAGGAAACAAAAAAAGCAAAAAGGAATGAAAGCAAAGTAGAAAATTTTAGGAACGATCGCAGTAGACTTACAAGAAGAGGAAGAAGAGTTTCTAGGAAGACGATTTCTCAAGCAAAATTGAAATAATGATTATAGGAGGAAGCAGAACACTGTGTTTTCATAGTCGACAAAGAAGTCGCTTCAGTTAGGCATGACTGAAATAAAAACTGAGGTTCAAAAAAGACAAAATAGTTTAAGATGAAAAAGAACATGACGGTTTTCCACCTAAAGATACTGTTCTCATAGATATAGCGTGATCTGAGAAGAAAATTTAAAATGAATCACCAACATGCATTTTTCCTTCTAGCGATTTGTTAGAAAAAAATTTGGGGTACGCGAAGAGCCAAAGTGAGAGGTGAGCGTTTGAGAGCAACGAGTCTTCAAAATCTTACCGTAATCAACTTATCCCTACAAAAACTGAAAAAAGGAGAAATTTGCTCAGAAGATAATCTAGCTGATGTCTTTCCGAATCCCTTCGTCTTTAAATAGTTTCATGCATTTTCGATCACATTGAAGAGCGCGCCAAAATGAAGACCTCTTTCTATATCTTTATTTCCGTCTTTGCTTTTATCCCATAAAACTTCCATACATGGAAGTACCTAGGCTATTGGAATGAATGTTCAAAAGAGTTGCGCACATTTCGAATTCTCATTTCTAACCAACCTTTCAATTTTCTGGTTTCCATTTGGATCATCGGCTCTAAAAAAGGTGAGCATGTCGAAACGTTAGCCGAAAAAAGGCTATACAACTAACAACCTCTTGTAAGCTGAACGATCTAGACAAACATATTTCTTCTATCTTAATTCCTATAATTCTTCTATGAATTCAAAATTAAGCAGCCTATAGCAAGAGAGTTGCATCTTTTTTTAGGATCCCCACTTATTAAGGTTGCCTAAAAAGCAGGTTGGATGCAGAGACCTCTCCAAAGAGGTGAGAAGTTTGAAAATGGACGAAGTTCGGAAGGAGCTTCTTTTCTGGCTTGTGCTCGATACTATACTTGATATTTGATACTTGAATAACCCGTCCTCACTGGTTGTGCGGGCACCAGCATAATCTCCATTTTTCGGAGATTTGCTAGATAAGCCATTGTGATTCCCTGGAGCCCCGAGGTCAACCTGGCCAAAGTCTGCCCCAGGTATTCACCACCACAGGCAGTCGCAGTCATTGTGGATCAGAGGAAAATTTGCCACCATGCGACTTTGATACCAGGACGGTGGTGGAACCTAGTATTGGTTTAGTTTTAACTAGGGTTCCTTATGGAAACGCCGGACTCCTCAGCTTAGGAGATCCTGCCAGGTGGTGAATCCCTCGCTGTACATCGCGGCCCGACACCCAGGAACACCTCCTAGCCACGATGAGGCGGTAAACCATCGGGAGAAGCGAAAAACTATATAGGAAGAAATCATAATGATAACTTTGTAATTACTGCCTACTAGAATTCTTCACGGCACGGTATTGTGTATAGGAAGAATAATGTGGCAGTTACTCAGTTGCAGACATGGAATTATTCACTACGATTCTCTGAAGCTAAAATGGAAAGCTGGAAATACCTTCAAAAAATTTGTAGGCTTTGAAAATCTGGAATTTAATTACGTAGAAAGATGCCGATCCTATTCGATTTTATTTGAATGAAGTTTCCTACGTGACGGTCGAGATGTGCTTTTGAAATTGAAGATTAAAAAATATTTCTGAGAAGGCCTATACGTCGTTCTTCTAAAGAGTTCGGTGCATAGTCATTTGGTCGCTAAAGATCACTCCGTGGACAAGGAACAGTTTGAAAGGCAACATTTCCTCATAACCAGAAAACCCTAGAGCGATTTGTGCTTTGTTTATGAAAATGTGGTGGAAAAAAGAAGAAAGATCTGATTAAAAATGCAAATGTACGATACAAATTTCCAAATCATGAAAACGCCGAAATAATTTTCCGCCAGATAAATGCCATATGACAAATACCGTATTTGAGATCATAGAGATTGGGAAAACGGAAAACTTGTCCGAAAATTACAGCAATGCGACGAGGATACATGTAAACTCGGCTCACCGTCGTTGTAGACGATCCTTAGCGTGAGCGTATCGGAAGCGCTGCACATAGTAGAAGACAAGCCATGCTAGTGAGATGACCATTAGAATAATGAAAGAGATCGATACGAATAGTACTGATGTCTTCGAGAAGCTTCGAAGTGCATCAGTCGACCCGTCACCAGCGTCCATTGTCGGCACCTGAAATCAGCCAACGGTAACAAAGTGTTAAATGCTAGTTGTGCTTATTTTCTTCACTGGTTTTCGAATAAAAGCTGTTATGTCTAAAGCAATTCTTGTTTCGGTTCTATACTATTTTTTCCTTAACGTTAGCTTACATGCCGCTCGGGACAAAGCCGAAAAGCGGAAGCAATATTAGATCCTTTCGGAAAGGCTATTTTCAAGGCTGTAAACAGCTTTGGTAACAAAAAAATGCTACAAAGAACGCAAAAATTTTGCTAGGAGTTCAAGTTATACAATATTGCGTCGCGTTCGTTCAGAAGTCCGGATAAATTGTTTTCCATGCGTCGACTATCAACGACCAACGATCTGCCGTGTTCACCAGAATGTCGAGCATCAGATTCGTCGAATTCGGTAAAGCATTTTAACACCGACATCTGGACACCGAGTTAAATTTTTAGTGAGCGATTTCCGCTGATAGCTGAAAGCACAGGATCCCCAAGTCGGCGCCTAGAATTCGTCAGGAAGAGTGTGAAGGAAAAATACGAGGTTTTTTGGGTCTATTGTGCGATCAGAACAAGTTGGACACCACTACTAGAAAATCAGTCACACTAAGTGGCTAACAGAAGAAAAATGATAGATGAGATTCTTTTACAGTCCACAAACGACAGTATTGCAATGGAAACGAAAATTTGACAGTTGCCGAGTTTCCTTTTCAAATATGGCGGGAAGAGAAACTGGTACGAAGTTGTTTCAAACTAACTATAGGATAAATTCTTTCCAAAAATCCTTTGGCAATAACATTGCATTGTTTCAGGCATTAAAAAAGTTTCTGGTAAGAAACAAGAATTTTCGTAACCAAATGACGGAATATCCACAACTAGTGTTTTTCATGACTGAATAATAGCATTAATCTGGATCATCTGTTGTCTTGCAAACTCCCGAGAACAAGCGAACACCCACTAAGTTTAATTCAGTTATGTTAACATAGCCTGAGAGCCTCTCAGAACCTCCACTTTCTCGAGGAATGAAATGACCATTTTTCATATGACGATTTTATTTCTACTATTTTTGGTGTCTCCTGTAGCCACAAGTAACTCGTCGTTGCATCGACGTAGGCTCATTTTCAACTGAGCTACCGTATGGAAATGGCTAGCCCATTAGCTAACCATCTTGGGAGGTAAATCCGCTTCTGCCTATCGTGGTTTGAAGCAGTCCAAGTCATCGGAAGTCGTCAAAATTTCTATGGACGGGCAAATAGCCATTTACCGTTTATTTGAAAAGTGTTTCTAAGAGATTTTTAGATATTTCCCTTTACCAATTCCTGGAAAGTAGCACTAAATGTAATTCACAAAACTAATCTAGTCTTCAATCTATAGTAAATTATAGAAGATGATTTAAAAAAATTTCTCTATAACCATTTTTACAAACACCTTCTTCCTTAATGTCACTGGCCTCATAGTGTCTTATAACGACGTATTTTAGTCCCAATGGTAACCCTGCTCAGGTTTGCCCACTTCCAATACTCATGATATTTATGCACCCGAATACTCCAATTATTTGCAGTAGACTTTGTTTTATTTTTTAAAAAAAGTTGAATGAATCGGCACGGATGTTGATGAAGTGGAACGGACCGTCTCGGCTAGGGTGCACATGCCCTTCACGGAAGTGGTAGTGGTCTGGAACCAGATGGCATTTAGAGCCGGTGGTGGTTGATCGGCGGAAACCACCATCACGTTGTTCGGCAAACTTTGCAGCTTCGACAGGCATTTTCGGCACTCGTTGCATAGAAAGTAGGTGTTTGCCACTGGTGTCCCTGTAAAAAAGGAAAAAGAATAAAAATAAAACAATGCGAATGGGAAGATGAAAACCGTCCTAAATCACTTCGAAGTCAACAATGAAATCGCGAGAACTACGGTAAAGAACTCGACTGAGTCCCAAAAGTTACTCTGTAAACTAGCAACGCCTACACCATTTGTAATAGTACTTAACTAATATCCAACAAGCCAATTTTTGTCACCTTTCCTCAAATGATTAATCCCCAGCGTTCCTTAGGGTGTACGAAGGTGTCAAATTGTAATACACAGAGAAAAACCCTCCCAGCAGACTAAATGGCAAAGTAGTTTAACATTTTAGAACTCAGTTAAGAATAAGCCAATGCTAAGAATAATGTTGTCCTGAAGTCGACTAGCATCCATCTGATTCATAAAGGATGACGTTGCGCTTGTGATGATAAGCACCTGGAAATCCAACGGTACGTGTTGCTAAGGAATGGATAGAAAAGTCTTGTAAAACCAGCAACAACAACTAAACTTAAACATGAGTGGATTGCATGGTTGTTTGTGAAGATGAGTCCGTCAAGTGATATAATTATTCCCTAGTGGTCCAGCTTCATATGTCAGATATGGTGTATTCGAGAAAATAAACCGTTAGTGCGGTATTTCCTGGACTAAAAAATTGGAGTGCTGTTCTTTGAAACTGCAAGTGTAACCTTGAAAAATTTGAATTTCCGTGAATTGGGCTTCTCTTTTAGCTTTGTAAAACACATTACTCATGTTTTAAAACGCCAACTAAAATCTGTGGACTGTGAACTACTAAAAGTAATTAGTGAACTGCTATTCGCTTCTTACAAGATTCGTAGTACCTTCGTGTATATTGAACAACATTTTTAATCAAACCACGCTGCAACGAAAGTGGATAAAAGAAGGATGAAGCTCTCTGCGTTGATCAATCCACGAGGGATGCGCCATGCGTTCGACCTCATTAAGCATCGTTGGAGATGATTGAATGCATATCTGGGCTTTACAATGACTCGCGGTGGCCTACCGATGTATCGAGCCAGTGCTGCTATCCTCCCTGACAAGTCTGGTATCAATTGGCCAAGCTCGAAAGGATGGACGACTTGGTAGGTCATGGGCGCGGGGAATGATCCTATACGACGTTGTCGACAGCTGCCCCACTCACGCCCGTGGAAAGTGAATAATTCAAAAAATCAATTTATACACTTATATACAGGGCTTGTGTTTAAACTCCAAATTAAATTAAATTGAACGTGTTTTGATTATTTTTCTATCGAGGTTAAATGACGGTCGATTTGAAGATTATGTAGGGCAATTTTCGCTGGCTGTTCCAAGAATCGTAATTTATTGAAGTCTCTAAACGGAAAACCCCAGTTAAGAGAAATAACGGCCTTTCTTAATTTCCTTGTGGTTTTTATCCCTCTAAAATTTCTACAGCTTTTTCAAATTTGCCTTTGTAATAAATAGGTCGTTTTTTTTCAATAGAAAAGTTTCTCACGCAACTGCGGTTTGTACTCGAAACTAATCGAAAAAAAATTGTTCTTTGGTTTCTACAACTCAACCAGCTTTCTTCAGTTCTCCAGGTGAGGCTGCGCAGCTGCTTGAGAATGAATAAGTTAATAATCAGTGATAGAGTTCCTTTTTTCAAAGGCCGCCGAAAAGAATTTTGTTTCACGGAAGCTTCTAGCTCTGATGTCTTGGAACACTTGACTACATGAGTACTAATATGTCTGAATGTCCACTTTCACAAAGAATAGTGCGAATCTTTGAAAAGTTTCCACCCGATCAGTAATTTTGTGACCAGCCAACATTTCTTTTCGTTAGAGTCTCGAGGAGTGCTTGAGCTTATTCACGTTGTCACCACAGGCAGTTGATCGGAACGAGATTTGCCAGCTTTTAATACTGGTTTACTACCAGGACTGAAATGATACTTAGCCTTGGATTGCTGTCATCTACGATGCTAATATGAAATGCCGAGCTCCATCCCAGCTTCGAAGACTGGTTAGAATTGGGAGGATGAGTCTCTGTTGTATACTGCACTTTGAGAGCCAGGAACGCCCCACCTACGATGAGACGATAAACTAGTGTGACGCCTTCAAATAAACAAAAGAATTTGAAGGAGATGGATTTATTTATATGAAATTTGGCATCATACAGGATTTGTGACGCCACGATTAGCATAGCAAGGTTGGAATTTATTTAAGTTAAAGGAATAACGGAGAACGTCATGATGTTCAGACTAAATCATCGGGTGATAAATGCGGTTGACTAATAAGCTACTAGACACTTCCTTGCAAATAAACAGGGCAATGACATCGAGGTAATGAATGATCGCTGAACTTGGTTATTCTTTCTTATAGCCAGGATGTGAGTAGGAGTACTGACTGGCTCATGGATGCGCTATTCTAACCTTTATCACCTGGGTTAATAATAACGAAGCTAATTAACGTCACTTCTAATATAGTCTGTAAGCGTCTGACGTATAAAAGTAGACTCTCGCATTCCGTCAATGAACCCTTAATATTCTAGTCACCTTCACTGGAAAAGAATGAAGGATAAGAAACCCAAAACAAATACATCGTGAGAGTGTCAGCTCAAATTCACTCATTAATGAGGTTAGAGTTAGATGTTAGAAGGTTTTCGTTGATATTCAATGAGGAATAACACAAAAAACTATTAAGAATCATAGATAAAACAGCTGACGATAAGCAAAAAGTTTTTGATAGCGATCTCTTACATGCTATTTTTCGTCACTTTCTTTAGTTTCTCCACCTTTATACTCACAAATGTTTCCAGGCCTGAACCTTGACCTATCGCCGTTTCTAATACTTTACAGAAGTTCTACCATGACGTTTTTTTATTGAAATCATTGAGTCGACGAAATATAACAGACTGAGCACCAGGAAGGGTCTTCCATGATTGTTGATGTTTTGCGATAACTAAAGTATTCAAGGACTTGAGGACAAACCAAGGACTATGTCTAATCTTTACATTACTAGGTCTCTATTAATCATCAAAATAACGTAGGCCGCAGACGAGAGGGTAGTTCGGTCGGGGGAGGTGAGTGCGATACAAGCTCTCTGACGTCAACTGACGGAATGAGGCAATTGTTGTCTCAGAGGCACATTCCTTTGACTTATTCCATTCACAAAAACAGCTGTCCACCTACACAGATTTCGACGCGGAAGGATGTAGTATCCGTACGAACAGACG